ACATTACAGATTATAAAACAGTTACATACATATTATAAAAATAGTCACATACATTATAAAAAAAGTCACATTCAATTTTATAAAATTACGGATTATAAAAAACAGTTACATTCCAATGAGGAAGTGCTCTCAATCTGGATCTAAAAGCATTCAATGAAATAAGTTCAGATAATTTCTAGTCTTTTTGCAACACGTTCCATGTTAAAGCGGCATTTGGGCAACAAATGGAGTTTTAAAAATGGCATGTGGACAACAAATAGCGTGTAAAACGGCATGTGGGCAACAAATGCCATTTAAAACGGCATGTGAACAACAAATGGCATGTAAAACGGCATGTGGGGAACAAACGGCATTGAATATTAAAAAATAAAAAAATAAAATAATGTTAGTCTCTGGGACTTGTTTACATGTATGTCTAAAAAGAAAATTGAAGGGATATCCTCTGGAGGAAACCCTGATGTTGATACGCTGAAGAACATCCAACATCCATTCTTCCCACTCCTACAGTATTTTGGGCATCAATTGCTTATTTATTTTGCATAATCAATGTATAATTACATTGCTTTTATTTTTTCTCGTCTCAAATATCCAAATAAAAAAAACAAAAAATAAAAAAAACATTAATTCAACATTAGCACAGCTATCATGGCAATGTGAATGGAGACAGACCAACAACTGATAAAATAATTCCTTGTGTTTGCTGCTGGATTTGGTGCGTACCTGGCGCCCTGAGTCAGGGAGAGTGGGAGAGGACTACAAAATATTGACTTTGACTGCAGTACCACTTTTGGCCAGATTTTTACATTCTGCTCCTTTAGGTGTTTTGCTCAAGGACTCAAGAACAGATGATATCAATGGTAGTCTATGGAATATTAATCAATGGAGATTCGAACCTGCAACCTTAGGGGCCGCAGACCATTGCCATTTGTTCCCCACATGCTGCTTTAAATGTCATTTGTTGTCCATATGCCGCTTTAAACGCCATTTGTTGTGTACATGCCACTGATCAGCTGTGGCAGGTGCCGGTGCCACAAAAGGAGCCTGCCCTTTTGCTTCAGGCAAACTTGTCATATTTTGGCTTTATTCACAAACGGGCAATTAACTGCTCTCGAACATGAACAGCGCGTCTGCAGTCTGGTCCCATCATTGCGTTGGCACATTTATTAATAAAATAATATTAATAAAAATAAACATAAAATTCCCACAAAAAAATCAATATGACAGACATATCACTGTAATGTTATGTTTTATTGACCTTAACAAAAGTGGACAGAACCAGCATGCCAACATGTTGGCACTGAATGTGTTTAAGAGTGCTCCTGAGTGTTCGTAGGATTTGTTCTTCCCAAGAGATTTCCTGGATAAGAGAAAAATTCATGAATGCCACAATCTTCATAAAATCCTTTTAAGTAGGACTTAACAACAAATTTGTTCTTAAGAACAGTTCGTGAATGAGGCCTAATGTTTTTTGTTGATTCCTTTACATGGAGTCCCGTGGGAGCCATCTGCAACAGTGGAAACTGAAGGAGTACACAGGGAAACTAACGCAGCACTTGATAGACCAAAATACTGTTTAACGCTACCAACAATAACACTGTCCTTCTTTGCTATAAATGTTTAACATGTGATGTTTTTCCTGTACATAAACATTCATGCAAAGCATAAATAAATAAACGGGGATATACAGCAATAATGATTTGCAACAAGCACACCGCATCACCCGAAATGTTCATAAGACAAACTCATTGAATGAATATAGTATGTATAATCTTGTTATTTGGCATGGATACATTACAATCTATTAATTAGATATCCCATATCAACTGATAAAGCTGTAAGCTAGCAGCTGTCCTTACCACAGTCAAATGATGCATGCGCCTAACAACATTTGACAGAGCACACAACTCGACAGAACACTAAATGTGCCATGCACATTATTTTTCACCATAGATATTTTTCATGTCAAAAATTTTGTTAAAAATTCAAATAGATGAATTAAGGTCCATTTAAATTTCAAAATCTGAGGGTTAGGGTTATTTTAAAGACAAATATGTAATTTTGATTTTTTACATACAGACCTTCCAACACAAGTATCATGGTCAAACTACATGCATTCTGATGTTCTCAGTCTCTCCACGTACTCTTCATTCACACAAACACACACAGCAACCTGGCACACTTTCAGAGGTCCAGGAAAAACTGGACCTCTGTTGAACAACAACAAAAGAGTAACAACAAGGTCAAAGAAAAAAAGAGTGAAACAAATTAAGTAAAGTTTCCGAGGATTGGCGGGCCTTTACCATGACTCTACACTTATATTCAGCAAAGACTATGTTATACTTGTGTACGAGTCTTTTGACTTGGCCTTACAACATCTGGGGCATCATCAAGAGCTATATTCACCACAGTGTCTTTCCTCTTCAGCCCCATTTCCAGAAGAGACTGAAAGTAGGTAAGGAAACCATGTTGTGCTTTAAAGATCAACTACAATATAAGGAATGAAAATACACATTTACATGTATTCATATTGTGTGCGTTGGATGAGAAGCCAACAGTTGTGAATAAAAATAATTATTCTCGCACATCATTTGACTTGCTATCTAAAAATGTGTTGGAAATGCAATGTTTTGGCGTTATGCCTTCGTCAAGCAAATTATTCACATTTATTATTTTGTTATTTTTATGTTTTATGGATAAGTAGATCTCAAATCGTAGGTGACCAATTTCCTGCTGCTAAAAATGCTCTGGTGGAATTGGTTGTTGCTACCAGTAGTATATTTCTTTATCAATTCACTTGTTCATGCATTGCAGCTTTTATTTATCAATAGTGTTGTCGACAAGGCAGGGAGTAAGTAAGTATCCCTCTTGAATAGTTTCCACCTAATTTGTGTCATAAAACAGAATGAATTGTTATTAATTTGTTAAAACAACAAATTATGTTTGCATGTTTTGTTCAATCCCAGTAAGGTTGTGACTTAAAATATCAATACAAGTCCAAATATGCTTCAACAGTCATTGTACTAAAGACCACAAAACTTAAACAAAGATAAAAATGACTGCAAACACTGCATAACTTCAGATTGTTAAGTTATTACACTATGTTTTTACCACTTGGGGATTAGATTTTCCTCCTTGTGGTCCTTGAACTAAAATGAATTTGAACAGACATACCTCACATAAGTTCCGTGCCTGGAAAGTATTTTTTCTGAAATGGGACAAAATACAACCTTGACCATTTTTATTCAACATAAACTAAAATCAGTGACATGCGGTGAGGTTTGTGATTGGTGAGGCACTGACTTCACCCCAATCAGATATACAGTTTATCATATAATTCAACAGGAACTATAGAGCGGCTTATTCACAATTTGTTTGGCTACAGCACAATGTGTTTCATGCCCGCATTGTTTGCTCAAGTAGTTTGTAAAAAGCACATTTCAAAGTGTGTTATGGGCCTTACTTTATAAATGAACGGCAGAGACTCCCGCAGTTCTGACCATGAAACTGATCAGAGTCCAGTTTAAGTCCAGATAATAATTTGAGCGTAGACATGTAACTATCCATTTGGAAAAAAGTCCAATGAGTTTTAAAAAGTAAAACAAAATAGGTGTCTCCTCCATAAACTCCTCTGTGTTTCGCTAACTGCAGCCGACTCTCGTGTGCATCCAATTTCTAAAATCAACCTTTCTCACCCTTCACCTCTCTTCCTTATCATTCATGTGATCACTGAAAGCATAACATTACCCTAAGTTCATTCTAAATTATCTTGAAATGTGATTTATGTATGTTAGACCAAACCTGTAGCTGCCTTTAGCAGATGAAGAACAAGAAAGGAGCTTTCTGATTAAATTGGATGCAGCCGAATTCTGCGCTCACATGCGCCCCCTACCCTGAGGCTGGCTTCACTTGGTGATATTACAAGTCGTGGTTGAGCGCGATTAAGACCCATATTTGTTGTCAAAAACAAAATTAATGAGCCATCCTCTCAACTGTAGACATGTTGATTGTGAAGGAAATATGTTTGAACTTTGTAAACCGCGATAAACAGAGAAAACATTTTGATAGCAGTGGACGGGCTTCTCCAACAGTGAGCTGTAGCTTTTACATCTCCCAAGTGAGGCTCGCCTCACAGCGTGCTGCTGTCAAATATTAGAAGAATATGACAAAAATCTTGGATTTCAAGGTAAAAATAAATGAAATAAGGCAAAGTTACATTGAAATAATACAATAACACATACAGTATCGCCTAATAGTGACAAAGTATTGTTTCCATTTTATTCTTTTTTCTTTCAATGATCTTAGGTGAAGCCGGGCCTCACCTGCCTCATCTGACCGTACGTCACTGACTAAAATACTTGTCAATATCCACAGGGTATGATTTCCACAAAAAATGTTTCTGAACCACAGCATTGTCAACAAACATTGCTATCACATGTTGTATTTCTGATAACCACACAGGGGCCAGTATCACTAGCAATGTTTAAGCCCTTTTTCTCACAGAACTGTTGCTGTAAGAAGAAAACCTTTCTTCCTTTGAAGAGCATAGAAGTTAAAAGAGAAACATGCTATTGAGAAAAGGGGGATGTAAATTTATAATCCAGGTCATGAGTAAAATTTGAAAATATAGTGTATTTGACTATAAATGGCTTCACGCAACCACCATGAGTGCATTTACTTGCCTTCTGTTCATCAAATTATGGCCAAAAAAAATATTAAATTGTCTGCATGGTGTGTAAAACTGACACAACTGGATGTTATTTACATTATTTTGTCCCCGAATGTCCACAGTCTTTTGATGCATACATATTGTCCCATCTACATGTATATGATATGACAATGAAGTCCACTTATATTTTGTAAAAAAAAAGAAACCACAAATTGTGACACCAGGGCTCAACTCTCGAGCCTGGAGCTTGTCAGGGCTGATCTCCAGAATTCTGACCTCAGCAGCTCTGGCCTCAACAGCTTTTGACACTTCAGTCTTGTCCCATCCTTATGATATGACAATGCAGTACACTTGTGTTTTTTGTAACACAACAAATCTATGTTGACACTGGAGTCAACTCTACAGCCATGAGCTTGTCAGGGCTGATCTCCAGAATTCTGAGTTTGGCTTTGGGTTCTCTTGATATGGCTTCCACAGCTCTGGCCTCAGCCGCTTCTGCTTCAGCCGCATCCGCCTCCACAGCTCTGGCCTCAGCCGCTTCCGCTTCAGCCGCATCCGCCTCCACAGCTCTGGCCTCAGCCGCTTCCGCTTCAGCCGCATCCGCCTCCACAGCTCTGGCCTCAGCCGCTTCCGCCTCAGCCGCTTCCGCCTCAGCCGCTTCCGCCTCAGCCGCTTCCGCCTCAGCCGCTTCCGCCTCAGCCGCTTCTGCCGCTTCCGCCTCAGCCGCTTCTGCCGCTTCCGCCTCAGCCGCTTCCGCCTCAGCCGCTTCCGCCTCAGCCGCTTCCGTCTCAGCCGCTTCCGCCTCTGCCGCTTCCGCTTCAGCCGCATCCGCCTCCACAGCTCTGGCCTCAGCCGCTTCCGCTTCAGCCGCATCCGCCTCCACAGCTCTGGCCTCAGCCGCTTCCGCCTCAGCCGCTTCCGCCTCCGCCGCTTCCGCCTCAGCCGCTTCCGCCTCCGCCGCTTCCGCCTCCGCCGCTTCCGCCTCCGCCGCTTCCGCCTCCGCCGCTTCCGCCTTAGACGTAACAGCTCGATCTTTACCCTGTTTACAAGTATTTGACGGTAATGTCCTCCCACACTCTTCAGTACTACTGCATTCATCTTCACTCTTGATGAATTCGATGTTACGCTTCCTCATAGACCTCAATGACCTGACAGGCCTATTGCTAACGACAGGCACGGATGCTTTTGCTTTAGCGTGCATTCGCTGGTGACTTGAGAGTTGCTTTAATGTTCTAAAAGCCTCGTCACACTGGTCACACTCATGTCGTTTAGTCTCGCTGTGAACTCTCATGTGACTTTTTAGATCTGACGACGTAGTAAATGCCTTCTTACATTGTTCACATTTGTACGGCTTTTCCTTAGTGTGGATTCTCTTGTGTGTTACAAGGTTGTTCAACTGTGAAAACTTCTTCTTACATTGGTCACATTTATAGGGCTTCTCTCCTGTGTGGACTCTCTTATGTCTCTTAAGATTGCTTGAATGTGAAAAGGTCTTCTTACAGACGTCACAGATGAATGGCTTTTCTCCAGTGTGAACTCTGACATGGATTCGGAGATCTGCTGATGTGGCTAATATTTTTCCACAGTGATCACATTCATATGTCTTGTCTCCGGTGTGGATTCGCATGTGTGATACAAGGTGGCTGGACCAAGAAAACTTCTTTTCACAGAAATCGCAGCTGTAAGGTTTTTCTCCGGTGTGGATACTCATATGCTGATTGAGGTAACTAAGCTGCGAAAATTTCTTCTCACACTGGTAACACTCATGAAGCCTATCTCCAGTGTGTATTCTCATATGTTGTTTAAGTGCATCCAACTGTTTAAATTTTTTCTCACACTGGTCACAGCAGAATGGTCTTTCGTTTGTGTGAGTTCTGTAGTGTCTTCTGAGTTTGGAAGCATTGGGAAACTTCTTTCCACACTTGTCACATGAGCAGCCCATTGCATTGGTTTTGTAGCTCCGCCTATGGACAAAGGAAATAGTGCTGTCATGAGATTTCAACTGATATTTTACATTGTTGAAATATCAATGATTGGCCTTAACCTCTTCCCATCTGGCCAATATACAACCATGTTATGGTAAAAACAATATTTAAGGATTATTTAACAAATGGTTATTTAAAGTGCAATGGTGCAAAAGAATTTGGCGCCATTTGTGTTAGGTTAAAGACAGTGGTTGATTATCTCTTTGGGAGGTGACTCCTTATATTGGTGCTTCAATTATTTTCGACCAGGCCCCCTTTAGGAAGAAGTAAACATTCCGCTCCGAAAATCCCCTCTCAGCCCAAGTAGTTAAATAATGACTTTAAGTACACAAAAGAAAAAACAAGACGTCCTGTTGTGATCTGATTTGTCTGATTTTACTTTTGGGCACAACCAAGGGAAAATGTATTTATTCCAGTTTTAACTTGGCCAGTCCGCTCCTGCCTTAATTTTGCCATTTCTCCACTAAGCGGGGAAATGCTTTATGAACAAGTTTCCTTGTCTCCACATTTGAGAGACAGAATTTATTTTTTGTTTTTCATTTTCTTCCGAATCAGTTAGAGTTTTTACAGTGTATTTGATTATCACCTTTGATTATCAGCTGTGGTCATGGGCGCATGAATCTTAAGTGTAACTTCAGATTGGCAGACCCCAATCCCCACCTCCGCCTCCGGATTTCATTGCGCGTTCAAAACCACCTTGCCATGTTGCCACCACCAGTGCTTAGGCCCAAGAGGATCATACAACTGCAATTTAGCACAGATCCTCACAGAGCAAGGCCACAGTCGGGGCCTATGCGCCAAACTAACAAACTACAAACAAACTTGCAACCTCTTTAGTCTCTCCAGATTGAAAAGTAGATGTGATACCTGATGCCCAAAGTGATGAGTCTTTCAGTCATAAAAATTGACGGTTAAAATGGGTTTGCATTAACACCGTTATTAACATGTTTAACTGACAGCACTAATAATAATACTTTTTTAAAATCAGTCTTCCAAACTCCCATCCAACAAACAATCAATAAACAAGCCCCTGGTGTCAAAGATCTCTTTATAGCAGACAGTGCCTACATAATAAAGCCTTTCCTTAACAGCTTAGTGTGATGCCCCTCGTCTCCATGAACCGATAGCGGAAGGGGTACGGTCCACAAGTCTAGGGTTTTGAGTCCCATAAACGTGTTCATGAAACAGAGAGAGAGACTGTTGAACACATGTGCTGGGTACAGCTAGATATTTTTTGTTTAATCAGAGGGAGAAACGGCATTTAATGCATGTCGTTCATGACATTAATATATAAACAGGGATATCAGACTGGATTGCAGGCTACATCTTCCACTCTCAGGTGGGTGCAGTGACACAGTTTAGATCTGACTCTGCATGCGAGTATTCTATGTTGCTGTGAAACATGCATAAGCTCTGGCCGTGTGCAAGGGGCCGATGCGCGCCTTTGGCTGTGTGTGCACAGGGAACAGGGTTCTTGTGCTATCCTCGGGTCAACTTGACCCCCCACAGTGATTAAAAAATACCAGTGATTAAATATACCCATGATTTTTCCTAACTTGATCAGAATCATTCATTTGTTGGTTACACCACTTGACATTTTCATGTGTGTCCAATCGTATCGCAGAGTGGCAAAAGTGAAAATAAAGTAAAACAAATAAATAATGAAAACATGCATAACTTAAAAGCAGACACCCTAACCAACATGGTATGAGGTGTTTTATTAAGCAATTAAAAGATTTTTAAATCTTTGATCTTGCCAACCCTTATTTGTCATTGACCCACATGCTATTCCTCAAACGGACGTGTATAACCATTGACACGGCATTGAAACACAACGACCATGGATCCTCTGACGCAACGCATGGGCCAATTGTTGTTTGTGGTTTTGTTTTGCATTTCCCTTAATGCCTTGCGGTTCATGCTAGGCCGTGATAGGTCGAGAAGCCTCTGCCTACGTCCCCCAGAATGCTGCACGCTTCTGGCTCGGCCCTACTTCCTGTTTTTTTCTAATGGAGTGAAGTTAAACTATCGAACATTATATCGACCCCATTTTCAATTGATTGAACACAGTGTCTATAGCAAAATATGTACTACTGTAATACTATACATGCATCAATAGTTCCGAGACTTAAGAGGATCGAATGCTTACACACAAGCTTTATAAACTTGCCCAAAGCTGTACTTTGGACATATTTGTCTGGTGTGGAGCTTCTGAATGTAGAGAAGGCCAAATACCTGGGGCACGTAATCAGGAGTGACCTCAGTGATGACGATGACATTCAGAGGCAGTACTGTAAGCTGTTTGGACAGGCTAACACTTAAGCACAGTGTACAGATAAAGTGAAAATAACTTTGTTTAAAGCCTACTGCACACCTCTCTATACTGCCAGCTCACCGTTTGTTCTTAATAATGTCCCCACTCTGAATGCTCTGATCCTCGTAAGTAGCATAAGCTACATGTAGCTCTATAGTCAGTCGGTTGTGTTTACATCTGTGGGCGACAGTAGCTCAGTTGGTAGAGCATTGGCCTTTGAGTCAGAGGGTCGTGGGTTCGAGCCCGACTTTCACCATCGACTCCCACTGTCTGCTGTTGTGTCCTTGGCAAGACACTTAACCTCTGGGAACACCTGATGCCACACAGTGGGGCGGCTGCGGCTGTAAAGTGCCAAACTGCCGTTGTGTCCTTAGGCAAGACACTTCACCCCCATTGCCTAGAATGAGGCTGGTGTGTGTGTGAATGGTTGCTGGTGGTGGTTGATGGCACATACTGGTTGCCTCGCTCGTCAGTGTGCCCCGGGGCAGCTGTGTCTACAGTAGTAGTTTATCACCACCGTATATGGAGTGAAAGAATAATGACACATGTAAAGTGTCTTTGAGTGTCCAAAAAAGCGCTATATAAAACCAATATTAAAACCAATATTATATTATATATATATCCAGTGTTGGGCACGTTACTTTCAAAAAGTAATTTGTTATAGTTACTAGTTACTTCTCCAAAAAAGTAACTGAGTTACTAACGGAGTTACTCCACTATAAAAGTAACTAGTTACCAGTAAAAGTAACTATTGCGTTACTTTTTCGTTTTGTTCTGGAACATAATGTGCACCCGACGTGCGAATTTTTACCTTTAACAGTGCCAATATTTCCATCTAGAAAAGGCTGTTTTGCTGCTGAAGTCCTGTTCACTCTTCATCTCTCTCTGTGCTGTAAGCACTAAACACCAACACCCGCCGCTGTGAATGTGGAAACACCGGTGAAGCACTAACTTCAGCCCAATCAGATGAACATATATATCTCATATAAATCAAGTGGACAGTTTGTTTGGCTACAGCAAAATATGTTTCATGCCCGTATTGTTTGTTCATACAAAACGCAAAACTATGAGTTATGGGTTATGGGCTGCAGGAACAGGCCCTGAGCACCAGAGCGATAGAGGCCCAGATATACCACACCAGACAAGACCCAAGGTGTCGGTTGTGCAAAGAGGCACCTGAGACGATCCAACACATAACTGCAGGGTGCAAGATGCTGGCAGGGAAGGCCTACATGGAACGCCGTAACCAAGTGGCTGGCATAGTGTACAGAAACATCTGTGCAGAGTATGGGCTGGAAACCCCAAGGTCTAAGTGGGAAACTCCTCCAAAGATGGTGGAGAATGAGTGTGCGAAGATCCTGTGGGACTTCCAGATACAGACCGACCGAATGGTAATGGCGAACCAACCTGACATCGTGGTGGTAGACAAAGGGCAGAGGACAGCCGTGGTGGTGGACGTGGCAATTCCAAGCGATGGTAACATCCGGAAAAAGGAACATGAAAAGCTTGAGAAATACCAAGGTCTCAGAGAGGAACTGGAGAGGGCCTGGAGGGTAAAGGTGACAGAAGTGCCCGTGGTGATCGATGCACTCGGGGCAGTGACCCCAAAGCTAGAAGAGTGGTTACAGCGGATCCCTGGAACAACCTCGGAGATCTCGGTCCAGAAATGTGCAGTGCTAGGAACAGCAAAGATACTGCGCAGAACCCTCAAGCTCCCAGGCCTCTGGTAGAGGACTGAGCTTAGAGAGGGATAACCGC